AAGTTCTGCCCACAGTTGCTACATGCTTAGCTCCTCCAACCAAAGAACTGCTTCTCTCGGAGCAACTCCACAAAGCGACAGGTTTTGGTCACCTGCCTACTGTTCCTTCAACGGAAGGGACCCTAACTGTTCATCTTGGCATCCCAGAAGGTGTTTGCTGAATTGACTATTTGCGAACTGTACTCTCTCCATGGGAACTGGGCCAGGGACCTCGTGGGAAAGAACACAAGAAGCCAGACCTCTGGAAGAAGAAGCCCACTGACCCCTGACTGAGAAGAACAGGGATGCGCATACTGTACCCGGGTCCAAGTGAGCTTGGAGGAGGGAGAGATGCTATGGAAGGGGTAAGGGGAGCTGCTGGTGCACAGGGGTCTGAACTGGAAGTTGGGACATCATGATTCAGTGCAGAGCAAAATAAAAAAGGATGGGATCATCAAGGACAATGGCTCAAGACAAAAAGAAGGGCCAAGACCCCACAGATCATGTTGGGAACCAGGAGCAGATCTCGTCTGGGGGACACGTGGGGCTCCAGGAGGGGAGAAGGGAGAGAGGAGATTGGTTGAGGGTGCAGAAATGACTAGCTGTCCTCAAGGAATTCAGTGGAATTCAGGGCTGACAGTTATGGGCACTTGCAACTGAGAACCCAGGGCTCAGTCAAGGGCTTCACAAGAATTAGGTGCGCTGCCAACAGGCTCTCCTGAAAGGGCCCTGAACCCCAACTATTTCAGAGTAAATGAAAGATGTTCCCTGTCCCCAAACACACCAGGACCGCAGTAGGGCTGCTCCATCCAAAATATGTTCCTGTAACCCATTCCTGGAATTAGCCCAGAGATACTTTCTTTCCCAGGGCCTTCTCCTGGTCTGACATATTTGGTGAGGGGACAATGGAGTGGCAGAAGTAACAATGGGACCACAGCAGGGTCTGAGGAATGGGGCAGGAGGCAGGAAGCTTCCACACTGGCCCAAGATGGCGGGAGTTACATTGGAACAGAAAAGGAGATTTTTCTGAATAACTTACCCACCAGCACACACCCCTCAGGAAAGCAGACCCTGGGGAAGTAGTACAGGGTTTCATCTCTTCAGTTCCTGCTCCCCCCCGGGGGCTGAAGAAGGTGCAGAGAAGAGAAGGTCCTCATTGGCACAAGCCTATTTAGGAGGAAACTGCAATCTTCTCCTATCATCCGCTGGTGGGCTCCTGTGTTACACGCAGCACACAGCTCTGGCCACCAATACTACTTACAGGCTGTATGAGCTTGGGCAAGCCTCAGTGTCTCCGTCCATAAAGGGCACAACAACCACCTCTCGTCTCACAGTGGGGATGAAGGTTAGTCCACAAGCATTCATTAAACCTGTCTCGGGTGGTGTTTCCCAACCATATGTGCATGCACATCACCCAGGATGGTGTGAAGGTATGTGAAAGTACGGGTTCTCATTTGGCATGTCTGAGTGGGGCTGACAGTCTACATTTCTAACATGCTCCTTGGTGGAGCACATGTACTAATCCTGTCCCTGGCAACCCACCCCCAGGCACATCCCGAGGCTCCTTCCAGTGGGAGGAAATGCCACCAAAGATCAGGTAGACCCAAGGGACTTGGGAAATTGGTACTTGGGGAGTGAAGGATTGAACATGGCATGGTGACAGGCAGTAGAGGGGCCTCCGTTCTGTCCCAGACCTGCAGGTGACTTATGAACCAGGCTACAGGATGGACCCATCATTAAGTGACAGACTACTTAGCAGCTAGGAAGTACTAGAGGCAGGACCTAGAAAAGAGCCAGGTTTCCTCCAAAGCCAAAGCCTCTGACAGGGCCCAGTCAACCTCCAGGGACCACAGAGAGACCCTAACCTAGTCTTCTACTCCTGGCAGGAACTGGTCATTCTAAGCACAGGTGTGACTAAAATCTTGGGGACAGGGAATGGGGGTGGGTGCTAAACACAGACCACTCAGATGTGGAAATGACAGGTCTTCCCACAAAGGCATTTTATTTTTTCTATCTTACTGGGGGAAACGTGGTTTTCTGTTGTTTCTGAACAAATGTGATATGGACACTAACTCCTTTCACCGGGTGGACTCAACCTACCCACTGTGTGCTCTCCAGCCCACAGACTTACACATGTACATCTCAAGACTGCTGCAGTGCTCAAGCTCCCTGGTTGGCATCCGAAGCCTCCCAAAGAGTCAGAGAGCTTCTTGGATCTAACACAAGAATGCGCATCACTCCCCACTGCCCAAAAAGACTGAGTCCTTATCAGTGATGCTTAGAGGGTCACACTGCCAAGTCCGTCTGCTCTAAAGGGGATAGAGGGTGAGGGTGTCTTTTGAAGGTGGGGCAGGTATGCAGAGCCTGATCCTGATTTCCTGGAACAAGAACAACAACTCCAAGTTGGAGACGCCCATATTTGGGCCCCACAGAGCCTCCCCACCTGGCCCACTCATGCTCTCCCAGGGCACATGGGCCCTGTCTTCTCCCTCCATCCAGGTGTGTCCCAAACCCAAGCTCTTCACCCCTCTGGGTGGCACCAAATGGAACCATGAACAGAACCTAACACAAAATGGTCTCAAAACTGTGTTATATTGGCCAGACTAGGAGCGCTGGGAGGCCAGGGAGGCTCCTGTGGAGGCCATCCACAGCCATCACTAAGAGGCTGCCTGGACCTGAGGATTCCAGTCCAAAAGCAAGCCAATCCATGTCCCAGGTAAGTCGCACTTCACCAGCCTTGGTTTCTTCCTCTGTACCCTGAGGGGGCCGACATCACTTCTTAATCCCTTCGGCCTAGAATTCTGAGCAGCAGCACCACAGGATGTCTATGAGCTCTGGCTACTTAGATTTAAATACGGGCTCTGCCACTTCCAGTGTTCCCATGAGATGTCACCAGAGCCACCTATCCCTACTGTGGCATGGAATACAGGTGACACCGACTCAATGGGTCACTATGGGGATTCAGTGGGGGCACACCTGGCCTGGAGTGAGGGCCTAATGGATATTATTCCTGAGCTTAGGAACCTCCTGCTGTCACTGCCCTCTTGCTCTCAAACAAAGCCAGTCCGATGACCAGTTCTCCTCATCCCCTTTTGCGTGCAGCCTTTCACTCTCTTCATGGAGACACCCACCAGACCCTCCCAAACCCAGGAAAGTCAACGTCATGCACACCCTGGTGGCCTGGTGCATGGTCTCAGGCACACGCAGGGTCAGGTGAGCCTTAGCATGCCAAGCAGCAGGTGCAGTCACTGCAACAGGACAGGGAGGACAGGCAGAGAGGAGGCAGGCAAGGGGGCCACGTGCAGTCACTGAGGGATGGAAGTCAGCACAGCCCGCCATCCAGCAGCCCCTGCCAGCAGCGCCGGCTCCTTACCTCCCCGGCAGGACCTCTGACCACCAGGACTGTGTTCCCCCAAGAAGCTGGAGGCATGCTAGAAAGAGTAGAGAGCAGGAGACAGGGAGCCATATGTACTGAGCCAGGTTGACAGGAGGAAGGACCAAGGGACACCCAAGGGAGGGTTTCACTTCAGGGTGTCCATGGAAGAAGTGGTTTCCAAGAGACCAAAGGACCCAAATGCCAACAGAAGATCATCCCCAAGACTGGCCTGTGCCAGAGGCACAGCGAGGGGGATGGGTGAGCAAAGGGAGAAGACCCCCATAGGCTGGGCCCTCCCGGAAGGGCCCCTTCCCTCCCACAAGCTGGTGCTGGGTCTGCCCACAGGACTGACTTGACAGGTTTCCTGGGACAGTGTGGACTCAGGGGGGAAGGGACAGAGGCACCCAGGGTGGACAAACAACCTTCAGGAAAGCCCCTCCAGGAGGATGTGTCCTCCACAGATGTCACTGTCACGCCTACTGGGACCCAACGGAGACAAGTGAATGGGTGTGTTGGGGCAGAGACAGGGTGCACATATTCCAAAGCCAGCATCAGAGAATGCAGGTTCCAGTCCTGGCTCCACCATAAATCTGGGTACCTTTGGGCAAAGTACATATCCTCTCTGGGCCTCAGCTTTCCTCTGAAGATAGAAGACATGTTTCTACCTACGATAGAAAGAGGGTAACACATGCTCTACCAATGCCAGGTCCCAAATCCCCACAGGACCACTGGTGGGGTTTTTTAGACTTTTCTCTGGGGATTGGTGTGTGCTGAAATAGGGGGATGATCAAACCTCTAAGATTCCTGACAATAATCTAGACAGTGAGGCTCCTAAGACCTCACAGTCACCAAGGCCCACCTTCACGCCCAACCCAGGACTTAAGGATCTGGGGAAGAAGGAGGCTAGAAGTTGAAGGCAGGCAAGTTTTAGCACATTCAAGCCAGTTCAACGGCATGACTTCCCTGACTGGGCTGTCCACAATCCCTCTCATGAAATTCCTGTATTATCGACCTGGTGTCCCTAAGTTCCCTTCAGGCTGCCCTTTGCCCTGGGAAAATTATGAGCACCTCCAGAGCAGGAACTGTTTATCACGGGATCCCAGCAACCCCTCCCTGGGTGGCTCCTAACAGATGTCCAACACCTGAAGAACGAGACTCCTCTACACTCTTGAGCACTCATGTATAGCCAGTGTCAGTCACTAAAGCCAGCCTGATACATGATGGCACACTTTTTAAGCCTTTCTGAACCTGGTTGCACAACTCAGTTGACTCCTCCTGGTCACAGGAACCCTGGGAGGCAGGTATCATCAACCTGTCTTACAGACAGATAAACTGAGGCCAAGAAAGGTCAAGAGGCAGTTTGCCCAAGGGCACACAGCAGGGTAACTGGTTGTCAATGGACGCAGGACGAGAACCTGAGTCCCCTGATGTCCCACTTGGACAGCAGGCTGCCATCAGCAGTGCCCAGCCTGGACAGCAGTGTCTGGGCATTACCCAGGGGTCAGTACCTGGAAAGTGCCCCACAGGCCTACCCTTGAGACTGTAGCCACTGCCCTAGAGCTGCCACCTGCTCCAGACACCTGGGGGTCAGAGTGGAATGGGCTGGGCATGGTGGTGGGGAGCCCAAGCCAGTGCTCAGAGCTACCTTTGATGACAAATGCCTCCGACAGCAGTCGCATCTGATACAGGGGCTTGTTCTCCACGGACATATCATCGATCCCAGCCCGAGCATACATGCTGATGGCATCTCGGTAGGAGCCCTCCACATAATGCAGCTTGCCCAGGATCAGCATGGCCTCACTCATGTACTGTGGCTGTAAGGACAAGGACATGTTAGCAGGCTCTGCCCCCAAACTTCCACCCCTCCCCACCCCAGGTACCCTAGGATGAAGATTCTCCATTGAGGTACAGCCTCATGCTCTGCTCAGAACTTCCCACTCCTCCAGGGAGCCTTCCCTGATGACCAGACCTGTGAGCCACTGTGCACAATGGGCTCTAAAGGAAATGATTATGATTCCCTATTGCTTCACGTGTGTGTCTAGACTCCAGGCAACTGTAGACAGGGCTCTGTCCTCTCTCTTCTGAAGCACCCAAAGGTTCCAGCCCAGATCTGGCACTAAGGGATTCAGGCACTTATCCTGAATACAAGTGGGGCAGGGGGAACACACAGAGACTGAGCCAAGTTTTGTGGGGCCTGAAGCTTATAATTTTGGGGGTCCTCTTTATATACATATACAAATGCATATGCAAGTGTATAATTGGGTGAAGAGGCCTCAGAAAGAGCCACGAGGACCCTGAAGCTGACACCTACATCCACAGCAGCAGGACCTTCTAGGGGAGGAACAGCCATATCAGCAGTGTGGGACAGAAGACAGGAGAGGGCCTGCCAGGTTGCTGTCCTCATGTTATCAGAAGTGGAACAAAGTGCAGAGCCCAGGAGGCCCAAAGTGCCTGAATTCAAACCTGCTTTCTTTCTCAAACTTTCTCAAGGAAGTCTGGTCTGCCTCAACTACAACTTCCCTTGTGCAGACTGTGTTCACAGCCAGAGCGCCCAGTGCTGCTGGCTGAGGGAGGCTGAGCCAGCCTGGAGCTGGACCACTTCTGGCTCTGGGTTCTGGCTTTGGCCATGGGCCCAGTCCCACTCCGAGGTCCCCCACCTTGTGAGGCCATCTGCTGCAGCCCCTCCCTCTATCCCTCTGCTCAGCCAACCCATAATCCCTTTGGGTTAGGCTCTGGCCAGTATCCCTGCCACAAGGGCACCAATCTGTCCACAAAGCTCCCTGGAGATACAGCTCTGGCCCCAACCCCTGGCCTCTGTCACTGGTAGGAAGGTACTTCCCTTGTTTCCCTATGAGGAGTTAAGAGCTGGGGTACCTGTGGCCCCAGGGGGAGCCTTGAGCACTTCCCATCATCTACTGCCTCCAAGAAGCCAACTAAGAGAAGCAAAACGGAGTCAGAGCCAGCCCCAGGGAGGCCGAAGTCTCCTTCCTTTATTGGTTTCTGGTTTTTGTAAACATATTCCTCTGTTGCTTTTGCTCACTCAGGACTCCTTCCTCTCAGCCTGCCCAGATCCTCTTCCATCTTTGGGCCTTGCTCAGGCCCACCCCCTCTGGGAAGCTTACATAAGCACCAGGGGATACCCTTCTGCTGAACCCCTACTACACTTCTTCAGGTTAGGCTCAATCAGCCCCTGCTCACCTGGTCTGCCCTGACTCCTGGCTAACTCTCAAAGGCTGAATTTTTCAAGGGCATTTGACATAGAATTTATTTCCCAAAGAGGCCACCCACTTCCTGGGCCAGGGCCACAGATGACACATCCCCAGAAGGGTGCAGCCTACAGCACTTCTGAGCCAGGCGATGACTCTGCCATTCTGTGTACTGGTCTCGAGCCACGGGCTCATTTCCTCCTTGCTCAGTCCTAACTGTCCTCACTGTTGAGGGAGAGGCAAGGGCACCCACTCCCCACACCCCCATGGCAGCCATGCTAAGAGCATTAATAGGGCAAAGTCCAGAAGACTTTGAACTGTTCCTGAGAAAGGAGCTAGATAAATACAGAGTATGAGTAATTATTATGATTACCCACTTCTGTTGAAGATGAGGAAGGGACAGCAAGGCTCACAAGGACACATTTCAGGGCATGATGACGGGGTGTGCCTAGTGGTGGCTCCTAGTGGACCAATGACAGTTTACAATAGAGCTTCCACCAAGCTGGGGGAAAATTAGGAGCGATGCAGTGACTGTTTCATAAAGCTGATCGTGTGCTACTTAAAAAGCTACTTTTAGCCGGGCACAGTGACGCATGCCTGTAATCCCAGCGGCTCGGGAGGCTGAGGCAGGAGGATCAAGAGTTCAAAGCCAGCCTCAGCAACAGCAAGGCGCTAAGCAAATAAAATACAAAATAGGGCTGGGACACTGGCTTTAGTGGTCAAGCGCCTCTGAGTTCAATCTCCTTACTGCTCCCCCCATTCCCCCACAAAAAAGCTACTAAATCATAAACCTGGTCCAGTGGAAGGAGGCTAGGCAGCCATCAGCAAGTGCTCAGCTTGCAGGGGGCGGGGGGGTCCCTTGCTGTGTGATGGATCATCAGTCACCTATTCTATTTGTGCCTCATCGTCCCTGTCCATATGAAGGGAAGAATGACTTCATGGAGACAGCAACACAGGGGGAAAGAACAGATGAGGAAATAGTTCCTAACATGGGACCTATTAAAGCAGGAGGGCTATCATCATCCTTAAATTAATCCAAGTTCCTCAGTAATTATTTTATTTCTATTCCAATACTTTGGGAGGCAGCACCAAGGAGGCACAGAGAGCACTGGAGCTTGGGATGCAGAGACAGAACAGATGGGCCTCGGTTCCAGTCCTGTACCTACTAGGCTAGTGTGGTCCTTGGTGTAGGGATCACCTTTCCTGGGGCTCAGAACTGGGGCAAAAGTAAATACCATTGCAGAAGGTGATCGGGAAGCCTCAATGGGATGCCACAATGCCTGGAGCTCAGTGGGTAATAGAAATCTAGCAAGTGGCATGTTTTCACCTACTTGGATACAAATGAGCTGAACAGGATCTTTTTGGGGGGCACACGGAGCGAGGGGAGTGGGGTAACTGAGGATTGAACTCAGGGGCACTCATCCACTAAGCCACATCCCCAGCCCTGTTTTGTATTTTATTTAGAGACAGGGTCTCATTGAATTGCTTAGCTCCTTGCTGTTGCTGAGGCTGGCTTTGAATTTGCAATCCTCCTGCCTCAGTCTCCTGAGCTGTTGAGATTACAGGTGCGCACCACGGTGCCCGCTGGACAGGATCTTAAAGATGATCCAGAGTGGAGGTGCCTCAGGACCACCCCCCCTTCTCATTCATCACAGCTATTTGGGGTGCAAGGAAATCCACATGGAGAGATCACCCCAGCTATACCTTATCTTTGGGAAAAGACAGAGATTCCCCAAACTGCTTTTTAAAAAATTAATTAAAAAAAATTTTTTTAGTTGTAGATGGACATGATACCTTTATTTTACTTATTTTTTTTATGTGATGCTGAGGATCAAACCCAGTGCCTCACATTTGCTAGGTAAGTACCCTACCACTTAGCTACAACTCCAGCCCAATTTTTTGAAAAAAAAAATTTATACACAAATGGAACCCAACTTTTCATTTCTCTGGCTGAACATGATGTAGACTCACACCATTCGAGCAATCATACTCATACATAGGGATAATAATGTCCATCTCATTCCACCATCTTCCTCCTCTCTCCCCACAGGCTGCTTGTAATATTTTAGTTTACTTAATCAATATCAAGTTTTTGGCTTTGGCCTGAGAAACAGAAAATTCCTCCATATTACTGGTGCCTATGTATGTCTTTGTTTAATAAAACACAGTTAGATTTGCATTTAATAAATGGGATGTTGTGTATGTAAATGCATGACCTAGAGGGGCATGTCCAACTAGGCTGCTTGACTGGATAATTTTGTTCTTTGCTTGTGTTTTTATTTTTCCTGTAATGCACATACTAACTTTTAAAAAAAATAAAAAGCTATTTTTAAAACAGTACCAACAACAAAAATAGAATTTAGATGAAACCATTTGTACAAAAATTCATGTGGATAATATTTAGTCAATATAAAATGGGGTTCAGGCACAGAGAAAGCTCCAACTGAAAGCTCTTGGCAAGAAAAAGCAACTTGTCAAACACATATTCTACAGCCCTATGGAAAGCTCTAGTTTGTGAGTTTGTATATAAATAAAGAAAGAATGCAACAGTGAGGAGTGTCCAGTCCATAGATGGCAGTAGGCAGAGAGGGGGATAGCACTGAAGGACCTTAATTTATCATTCAAATTACTTGTTTATTGATTACATTTTAATGAAGTCTACTAGAACGAAACAAAAAAAAATAATAATAAAAGAGGTTTTAGTGGAAGCAGCTGAGGAACAAAAAAAAAAAAAGAGAGAGAGAGAGAGGTTTTAGTGGAAGAAGCTTGAAACTCACCACTTGGGTCCAACCTTTTGATAGGCAGATGGGGAAATGGAAGACCCACTGGATCAAGGGATAAGTTCAGGGTCAAGAAATTATATTAACCTAGTGCAAACCTCCTACTGCCTAGAAGCAGAAACTGGGGACTTCCAACAGTCTCCCATCTCCCTCCACCCCCAGCCCTCTACTGCTTACAAAATAAGCCCCACACGTCTTAGTTGATGCTCTAGTAACCTCTCCATCCTGGATATACCTTTACAATCTAATTACCCACCATGCCTCTTCATTTTTGCTAAACTCACAACTTTGATGAGATTCTTTATAATAGGAACTCTTCAATTACAAATTGTTTCCTTAGGCTAAAATGCTCAGCCCTATCTCTATTTATCCATACCCCAGACTCCTATTCCAGATCAGCTTCTAGGAAGGTCCAATTCTAGTACCACCATCATCTGAAATCTGCTCTCTACCTCATACCAGGGAGGAGTCCTCCTTACACTTGTCTCTTCATGTATAGCACTCCTGTAGCATATATCATGGTCCACCTAGGACAAAAGCTATTTATTTACCCATAAGACTTATTTTCCCCGTAGACCTGAAACTTTCTTGAAGGTCCATGCTAGATTCTTCTGGATTGCCCTCAGCATGCATAACACATTGTACATAGCACACCGCAATAAATGCTTAAGAAAGTAAATATATTACTTTGGAATATCTCTTGAAAAATCACTTCTTCTTTAAGTCTAATGACATATGCATAACCCTATTATAACTTAGAATACATATTAATCTAGAAACAGTCTCAAACTTCGATGTATATGTGAATCATTGAGAACTCTTAACAACACAGATTCTAATTCACATTTTGCATTTCCAGCCATTTCCCCAATGATACCCACATTGCTGGTGGGTGGATCACACTTTGAAAAGCAAAGGTCTATAAAAAGTTATGACCCCTCGGCCACCTTTCTTCAGTGCCTTGCATATATTAGGCACTCATAAATGCACATAGACTTAATCTGGCTTGCTCTACTCTGAAGCCTTCTCTTGCTAGTCAGCTCTGCCTATTTGCTGTTTCTAAGTAGATCACAGGCTGAGATATTTTTTCCCCAAGAAGCCTTTAAGAAGCCCAAACAGCCAGGCACATATTAGATCAACCAAGTACTGTCCAATTGAAATATAACTTAAGTCACAAGTGTGAGCTGTATGTGTAATTCAAAAATTTCTAGTAAAATTTTCATTCACATGTTAAAAGGTAGTAACAAGTAAAATTAATTTTAATGTTTTCTTTAACCTAATATGTCTAAGATTCTCATTTGAACATGTAAGCAATTAATTAATATAAAAAGTAAGTGACCTCTTTTATATTCCTTGTTTAGTACTATGTAATGGACATCCAGTACGTGTTCTACACTTACACACATCTCAGTCTGGACAAGTCACATCGCAAGTGCTCAAGATCACATGTGGCTTGTGACCCTTGTACTGAAACCTCAAGAGAGACTTGCTATTCAGGTGACCCAATGACTCAGGGAGTCTGGACAGCAGATGGGAGACAAGAAAGAACAGGCCAGGCAAGGAGGCCCAAGCTTGTGGTTGACAACTCACCGGCAGCTTCCCGTAGTTAAGGATGCTGCTCAGGTAATCTTTGGCTTCATTCATTCTGCTATCAGTCTTTTCTAACAAAGGGATGGAGTCTTTTATTTTGGTGTGATTATCCTTCAAACATTGCTCCAGGAGGGCCTCTGCCAGCAGCAATTTCCCAAAGTCATCTGAAAAACAAGGCAGGGATCAGAGTGGGTAGTGAGGGCCACACCCCTTAAACAAAGCAGATGTGGATATGGTACATACTCCTGGACACCCCCCCTCCACCCACCCAAGGACACCACCCAGCACAGGAACAGCTCAGGTCTGAGAGAATAAAGACACATTTGCCATAAACTTAAACAGACTTTGGGCTGGGGATGTGGCTCAAGCAGTAGCGTGCTCGCCTGGCATGTGCACAGCCCTGGGTTCGATCCTCAGCACCACGTACAAATAAAGATGTTGTGTCCGCCGAAAATTAAAAAAAAAAAAAAAACTTAAACAGACTTTAAGACGGCGGCGGCGGCGGCGGCGGTGGTGGGGTGCATTCTACCATGATCACAATACAAATCTCCCTTTTGGGTTTATTTCCTGCCAGGTTTAAGCGGTTGAGAAGGCAGCAGAGTTCCCAAGACTTGCAGACAAATTTTCAGAATTTCAGAATTTAAAATGAAGGCTAAAATCACGCCCTGATGTGGTACTAAAATTCTTAAATCAAGTAGGAATCATCTCAAAGGACTGAAGAAGAAAATTATGTGAGGTGGCTTAATAACTCATTTTCACATGCTTCTAATTTCTGTGTAATCATAATTGGTTTTCTCCATTTTTAAGGTATTTTAATATGGCCTAGGGATAACCTAGCAGTCAAGGCAGAGTTCAAGTGGGAAGCACATTTACTTGTGTAGCAAGGCAAATCCTTATGCTTAATACTTGCATTTTCAGGAGTTGTCACTCATAGGGTAGCTCATTTGCATACCTGACCACTGGGCAGGTGGCTCACACTGCTTGGTTGAATTTGCTGTCTCTCCCTACCACACTGGAAACTCCAGTCTTGTGACCACCATATTCCCACTACCTGCAGCAGAGATGACTTGGGCATGAAAGCCAGGTATATATACATTCACCCTGCAGAGCGTTTGAGTTTCACTGCAACCTAAAGTAGCTAGCTATGCTCAGTGTCCCTCTCCCAGAGAAAGGACTAGACCTGCCACTCAATGTCAGTGTATAATAAATACCTGTCAATCACATTCTCTCAACTTCCCAGAGAAGAAGCCATCAGGCTCTGGGAGTTAAGTGCCAACCCAACAAATGTCTTTAGGAATGCATGCTCTCAGTCCCATCTTTTTGGAGTCCTCTTTCTGTTGCCATGATGCTGTCTTTGGACCTACCCAGGGGACCCACTCCCTCCTCACTCTCAGGATCACTCCTGTTGTTTGCTCAGTCTCAAAGCCACAAGTCCACAATTACAGGCTCTAGAGAGGAGTCTCCCTTCCTAAGGGATAACTCCTTGTAGAGAGTAGTCTCAGACCCAAAATCCCGGGAGACTTTTGCTCTGGGTACACCTGCTCCTTTGCTACCTACCTCATGATTTTTTTTTTTAAATTACTATTTTGAGGAAATGGCCAAAAAAGTATTTGGATCAAACAGTCATCCACGTGAGGGGGCCCAGGTTGGTGGAAAACTCTATAAAGAACCATTTTGGTAATATATCAAAATCATTTTTGTATAACCCCATTGCACCAGCAATTCCACTCTTAGAGACGCCCTTGCACACGTATAAAATGAACTATGCATAAGATAATTCCTGCAGCATTACTTATACTAGCAGAAAAGTAGAGACAGCTTTTATATCCAAACAGGAGGCTAAAGTATGATTATGTCCACAAGGGACACCATACAGCCAAAGACACGAGGATGCTCTGCATGCTGTTATGGAATGAACTGCAAGATAAATTGGTAAGAAAACAGAGTGAACAGGAGTGCCTGTCGTATGCTACTGTGTGTTTACGCATACAAATTGGTGACAGGACACACACACACACACTGAAAACCTTGCTGGCTGACGACAGGGTGCAAAGACGCGGCGAAGTTTTTCTGTTCTTCGCTTGCTGGTACTTTGGGAATGTTGTAGCATATGAATATATTACGTAGTCAAAAGTAAATTTTCAGTCAACCCAGGACTAAAAGCCAATCTTCATTTCCAAATCTCAGCCAGGAGGAGGGAGGGCTACCCATAAGTGTGTGGCAAGTGCCAGTCTCCAGGGGCATCCTGAGCTGAGCGCCTCTGGGCAAGTGGCTCGCCCCATCCAATAGGCTTCGCTTTGGCAAAACTGGAGAGAAATGCGCTCCTCCCCAGGCTCCACCCCTGGGCGTGTCCACGCCCCTCAGCCCTGAGGAGCCTCTGCACAGGCTCAGCAACCAGGCCACCCTGCCCGCCACTCACCTGCCAGACCCAGCACTCCCAGAGCCCCTTAGCTCAGTGCTTTCAAGCCAAGAGAAATCTGCTCCCCTCCCAGCACACCCCTTAAGGCCCTGGGCTGGTGCAGGCTTATTGCTTGTAATACAACCCGGGTGGCATCAGACAGGTGAAAAACATAGAGTGCATGTGTGGAAATCTGACAGAGTCATTTTGAGTTTGTTGAATCTAATGCTAAAAAAAATTGAGGGGGGTACTTTATGTATTTTTCTTCTTGTATTTTTATTTATACTGTATTTTATGAAAAGTATCAGAGCACAGCAGATTGGAGATTTAAACAATATTAATCGCTCACCACAAACCATTTGAGAAGCACTGCTCTAAACCATAAGAGTGTCTTCTACTGCAAAAGAGGAACTAATATTTGATGAAGGCTTACTAAGTGCCAGGCACTTTATTATAGTTTTATTTAACCTGTACAACCCTAAGAGGTAGATATTATTTCCACTTTGTAGATGATGATAAAGATAACAATATCCTTAGGGTCACTATCGATAATAATATAACACAAGCAAAAAATCATCTGTCCTGCATCCCAACCAGAGCAGAGCTTCTGGTAATTTAAAAATAAATAACAGTCTCCAAGCTGCAAAGAGTTGGTTAAAAACTAATAGTAAATTCTAGGGCAGGGATAAGAATTGTTCTCACTTTCATGCACCTGTGAGTGTCGGAATATTTGTTTATGAACACTTCAGGTCCTTCTCGGGGAGTCTGTGCCCTCTCTGCATTCTCCCCACTCAGTCTTGTTTTTTGTTTAGCAGACTCTCAGTGGGTATCAGAAATTCACTTTTGTCCCCTTGCTCATTTCTCCTTCTCCCTGCCCCACCCCTCGCTCCCTTTCCCCTCTTCTTTCCATTGCATTTGCCCCTCAGTGGAACAAAAAGATATTTTGGAATTAAACATTCTAAATTTCAGTTGTTAAAATAAGAATCCAGATGGATAAAGGAATCCTTGTCTCCCCAAAGCTAAGGGAGTTGCTTTGGAACATCCTTTCAGTCTGAGACCTACTCCCTGCTGGGTGTGGGTCAAGGGCTCCAGCAGAAGCCTAGAGGGGGTCTGATCTCATGGCCACCCATTTCCTCACTCTCCTTTTGAAGCTTCTGGCAGCTACTTTCCTTAAGTCCTCTCAGCTCCCAGCCCCTTGCAGCCTCTCTCAGGGTGCCAGGTCACAGGACCAACTTGAAGACCACCTGTCTCCTGCTCAGACCTCATTTAAAACACACTGTCTTCCCCCACAAAGCCTGCCAATCTGTAGTTAGGAAATGTGGGTCCATCCAGGAAGGAGGGTTCAGATCAGGCCCTTCCCCTTCGGTTAAACAGAGCATGGTGGTTTCGGCAGCTGCTCCCCACACAGGGCTGGGGCCTTCCAACCACAACCAGGGGAGGAAAAGGCAGAAACTCAAGAGAGGCCACCTGCCCCCAACACCTCTCCCAACTTCAACTACAAAAATGTTCAGAACAATCTCCAGTTTAAGAAGGAGGGGGAGGAGGAGGAGAAAGAGATCATCCAGCTAAAAAAACGAAACAAAAATATGGGGTGACTACAGATGAGGTAACAAGAGGAGCAGACATGACAAACCAAGCTGTGAAAGGTTAATGACAGAATCCAGGTGGGGGGGGGGGGTGCAAGTGTTCCCTGCAAAATTTTGACCTTTGCTGTATGTTTCAAATTTTCTTGTAAAATCCTGGGAGGAAGGGACAATCCAACAGCCACACACAATGTGTGGCCTTCCTTGGACCCTAACAGACTGGGAAATGTCATTGCTAGAGTTTTTGGAGAGGTAGCAATGGCATGGTGGATTTTTTAAAAAGAGTTCTTATTTAATAAATACACACTGAAATATTGACGTGTGGGAGAGAAATGGGCTGAGGTTTTGCTCAAACAAGATTGTGTCTGAGTTCGTGATCACTAAAGCTGGTTGATGATGCGTGGGATTCAATCTTCTTTAAAATGTTTTGGCAATTGTTTATAATAATAAAGTTAAAAAAAAAACACTTAGATGGGCTCTTTGTTTTTATGTGAACAAACCCCAGAACCACCAGCCACATTTTGGGGGTTCCCCTGCCCCAACCGAACCAAATCTAAATGGGATGTGAGTTTGAAGAAACTGCAAAAGAGTAGTAACTCCCCTCTCCCAGGATGGTGGTGAGGAGCTGCTCCTCAGATAGGAAAAGGATGGGGGGGCGCCTGTTCTGTTTCATTGTCTCCTCATATTTTTTATACCAATCGACAGGGCCCCCCAGGCTCCATTCTCTCCTCCTCCCTGGAGTGGAATCTATGTTCTGGAAGCTGCTTTTAGTTTCTGTAGAAACCTCTAACAGGACCTGGGCTCCGTGGGAGTCAGCTCTCCCCCTCTGGGCCTTCTGCCCCTCCCACACTGTTGAAGCTTCAGGCCACTGACAGAGTCCAACAGGTCAGGAAGGACTTTAAGAATCTCCCTTCTGGACAGTGCCAACACCCCCAAAAAGAATAGGCTCACATTATCTTGAGTAGCCAAGAAACCCTAAGAGAGAGAACCAAATACCTGTCAACCTAAAAATGCTCTGTGCATGGGCTTTGGGAGTCATTTGTTTTCATTCCTCACATTCACGTGTGTGTGGACCTGCATGTGTGCGCATGTGTACGTGCGTGCACATGTGCTGGGGATTGTGCATCTGGGTTTAACAGTGTGAGAAAAGTCACTCAGAACCAAACCCAGAAGTTGGGAGGAGAAACTGCCCCTCCGTTTCCCTCCTTAAACTGGTCCGTTCTCACAGTGACACCAGCCCAGGTTCCACTCTCTGCCTCTGCCACCTGTAGGTCTGCTGGCAGAAACTCAGGTGTGGGCACAGTCTTTACCACATAGACACTCTGTGACTTTTGGGCCTTGTTCCTACATCTAAGACAGAGACAAATCTTAGCCCTCCTCATAGGGCTGTTTCCAAGAATTTTGTTTTGTTTTGTGTTGTTTTGGTAGCAAAGATTGAACTCTGAGGTGATTAACCATTGAGCCACATCCCGGCCCTTTTTATTTATTTTGAGACAGACTCCCACTAAATTGCTTAAGCTGGCTTTGCACTTGCAAACCTCCTGCCTCAGCCTCCGGAGCACTAGGATTACAGGTATGCGCCACCATGCCCAGTGGTTTACAAGAATTTTGAAAATAGAGACAGCTCTTTATACCATATTATCTACTGCTTATGTTGTACCAGTGTTTCCCAATGATGATCCATAGAATATGGTCAACTGAAGATTGAGAAATATGTTTATCCTCTAGCCTTGTCTTTCACATCACATGCAGGTGGACACATTAAGGTTCTGCAGTTGTTGCTGAGTTTTTGTTTGTTTTTTTCTCTGTTTAACATCATTGATTTTTTTTAATATTTATTTTTTAGGTGTAGATGGACACAACACAATGTCTTTATTTTTATGTGGTGCTGAGGATCGAACCCAGGTCCCGCCCGTGTTAGGCGAATGCTCTATGGCTGAGCCACAATCCCAGCCCCATCATTGAATTATTTTCTTCCAATTTCTCAGCTTGTTGGCTCCCTAAACCCTTTTCTTGTGGGATACCAATTAACAAACTATGCAACCTCATTGAGACCTCTAAGGAACAGCTTAGAAATACTGGCCCATGTGAATGCAAGGAGGCCTCAGGTCCTGTCTTGGGCCCTACACATTTCTCTGGGGTGCCACCCTCACTCAGATTCACACACCTCACCCAGGAGTCAAGGCCCCATAGAGGGGATAGAGGCCCCTGCAACTTATCCACTCTGCCCTGGAGCGGGGAGCTTACCAGCTTCTCCCAAAGCACATCTGCAGCTCTGCCCACCACCCCTCAGTTTCATGAGTAAGTAGGTTTAAACCAACTTCAAAGCCTCAAACAGATTGTCACTAAGCTCCTCAGGACCCTCCCATCCTTCCTCCTTGGGCAAACACACCCTTCCCTTCCCAAACACATGGGCCAGTAAAAGTTCTGCTGCTTCCTTAAAACCATCTACCCTCCTCTGAGCTCTACAATCCAACACACAATCACCCTCCAATCACTTCCTTGATTCCCATCCACTTTGGAAGTTCTTTGAGGGTAGGAATTCTGCATTATGTATTTTTGAGAGGTGATAATGCAAATGATTAGGTTGTACTTTGAACCTGGGTTCAAATCTTGTTCCCTTCACTTACTGGCTGGATGATCGAGTTATTTAACTTCTCTGGGCCTCAGTTTCTTCATCTGTAAAGTGGGGCAAACAGGAGTAACGTCTCCTGGGGTTGCCTTGAAAAGTAATGATTTGACTTAAAAGTCTTTAGGTCAGCGGCTGGCACACAGCATCACATCAATGTTAACCATTATTATTATCATCCTGTCTCCCCCACAGAAACTTCTCCAGGCTGGGCAATCTTTAAAAACTCTTTATATCTATATTTACTCTCTGTCTCCTTCAACAAAAGCTCCCAGGTGGCTGCGCACACGAAGGGGACTCAGGGAGAGCTCTCGGCCTGAGAGGGAACAGGATCTAGGGTTAGATACTGGGCGGGGTGTTCCCGCCACCCCATCAGGGTGCTTTCCCGCCCCAGCACGAGAGCCCAGCCCAGTCAAACCAGCCCTACTGCTAAAGCCACCAACTGCCCGGGCTGGATAGGGTCCGAGTTCACCGCAGATGAGGAAACTGAGGTTCGCCAGCCTCTTCCTCACTTCACAAAACTACTGGTGCTCAATAAGCCTCCACTCCTGTCTGCTGCGGAGCGAGCTGTGTTTAAAGGGGAGGGCAAAGAGGGGCAGACACAGCCTTCACCTGATAAGAGTTTGGGGAGACTAGAGTCCTGTCCACGCACTGACAGGATGTGTGCAGCTACCACCATTCATTGTAGACAGAACTACTCGCCGATCCTAAAGGGCAGAGAGCAAAAGCCGTTTATCTCCCTTCTCTCCAAACACCTAATATGCATGTGATTTTTCTCCTGGGGTACCAGAACCTTCCTAACTGCCTGGCTGCTTGCCGGGACAGTCAAGGCGCTCTTCCTGGAGGAGGCGGTGCTTTTCGCGCGCTTGCTGCTGGTTCTAACCAGTCCTTTCCCTCACTCACCCGTGTCCAGGGAGCCGATCCTGGAGCTCGGGCTGGATCGTCGGTTGGTTCCGCTGCCGCCAGGCATGCCCAGCGTCTGCAGCTGCCGGACCAGCTCAGGCATGCGGTCCCAGTGGCCCTCAGCGCGGCAGCGGTCCAGTTCGCTCTCCACCTTCAGGTGGGTGCCGTGCGCGCCCTTCGCAGCCATCTTCGCGCGGGCGCTGTCATGGAAGGTGCGGCTGAAAAGTGGAGACCCGGCCGAGGGCGGCGTCCCGGCTGGGGTGCACACGACGGCGGGGTCGACGGAGGCGCTGAAGGCAGCCGGGGCCCTGGTGGCAGCGGGGGACCTGGTGGCTGCGGGAGAGCGGCGATAGCAGCAGCACCGAGTGCACCGCCCGGCGCCTCCGTACTGGGGCTCCGGCTGCGCAGTCCGGACGCGTCCTGGAGAAGCCTCCGCCTCCGCTGCAGCAACTCCCGGCGTCGCTCTCGCCTCCGATGCTGCAGCTGCTGCCACAACCCCCGCCCCGGGCCGGGGCGCCGCCAGCTGCGGACCCGCCCCTGGCCAAGGCTCCACCCCCGAGGGGGCGTGGTGCGGCCCCGGAGAGCCGGGCGCGCGGACGGCCAGCGCGGCCACAGCAGCCAGGCGCGCGAAGGGCGCTCCCGGCCTCCCCGGCGCCCGCCCCCCGCCGCCGCGGAGTCGGAGCTCACTTTAATGCTGCGCGGAGCCCGGGCGCCGGGGGGCGCCTCGCTCCCCGCCCCCTCCCCCTCCCGTCGGGGCTCTTGGTCTGGGAGAGTGCCGGCTTTGTGTGGTGGCCCCGTCACCGCTGCTGCCCCCGGCACGTCACAAATCCTGGGAGAGGCCGGTTGGCCGGCCCCAACCCAGAGAGGGAGCCTCCCCGGGAGCGGGCCTGGCGCGCGCCCGCCGGGCCCTATGGAATGCGCGGGCCTGGCGCGCAGCTCGGGTGGTGCTCAGGAGCAAGTGGGCCGGTTCTGACCCCCGAGAGTTTTTTTCTTTTTTAACTGCGGAGTTCCTCTTTTCCGATTGAACTACACTACACTAGCAGACTGCCTTGAATCTCTGTTGCCCTGGATTTCTCCAACCTGATATTTACTTAATTCTTCATGGTGGTGTCGAAAGACTGTGGTCAAAGCTGCGTGGAACCCTTAGCAGGGCTTAGCCCGGCGACCAGGAGAGCCCGGAAATTCAAAGGATTACTAAAGAACACTGACTGGTTACCTTGCGCCCAAGGCTCACAGTCTAGCACAGGGATGGAGGACATCAATCAAGTAACCACAGCAGGACCCAAAGAACCCAAATACCTGTACTTAAATCACACGTTGTATGACCCATTCTGAAGTGTCCACAAGACAAGTCACGGCAAGCTTTTGAGCTCAGCCTCCAAGGACTTAGAAAGTGACCGTTTCCTACCCCACTTGGAAATCTTCACCACACCTCCCTTGGGAGTACATTCCAACACCCGAAAACTTTCGCTGTTTCCGGACAACTGTAACAGTGGGAAGGTGGTTCTGTCAAGAGGAGCCCAAACTCCTGGTATCTAGCACCACAGGGCCCTTTGCTTCTAGAGAGTTGTCAGTTGGTGACAGTCTTCCTGTCCCTACCTATAGCCCCAGCTCCCCTATAGATACCCTATAGGAACCCCTGTTCTCAGGGTTCCAAGTTCAGCTCCATTCCTTGCTTGGGGAGCAGAATTTCCTAATCCTAGGCCCTGCTCTCAACCCCTAGGAGCCAGGAGATAGATGGAAGAAAATTGGGACAGCTCTGGCAGTTGGAATTTAGAGACAATTTACTCAATCAGCTCATAAACCCCTCTTGGCCTACTCCTGTCAAGCTGGTTTTTTGTTACCCTTTGGCTGCCCCTGATGGTCACCAGAACTGAATTTCACTTGGAGAGAGGTTGGATTAGAGTAGCCTGAGAACACACTGTGATTTGCCCCTGGCCTGGCATTCCTGGGAGTCAGTCCTGGAGCAGGAATGAATCACGGGTTTGATAAAAGAGAGTTAACTTTAAACCTCTTCTCTTTTCTCCCCACTCCTTTGCCAGACCCTTCCCATATTACAGAACACCAGGGAACTGACTGCAAAGGAAATCACTGCCTGTTTCTTTGACTGCATCACCCAGCCTTCCTGCTTTAGATTTATAACAAGCTGTTCCTCAACATACTTGATCCCTTCTCAGCTTTTTTTCCAGGAGGGACAAGACCCTGGTTCTATAGTGACCAACATTTTTCAGGGGAGTGAGAGATTTTAGGAAAAGAACAAACAGCAGCTGTGATTGCATCCATACATTTGCTAATATAAAAAGGCAAATAGAACTGGCACAGTAGCACTAGCCTGTAATCCCAGCTACTGGAGAGGCTGAGGCAGGAGGATGATAAATTCCAGGACAGCTTGGGCAATTCAGCAAGACCCTGTCTCCAAATAAGATGTAAAAAGAGCTGAGGATTGGGGCTGGGGTTGTGGCTCAGTGGTAGTGCGCTCACCTGGCATGCGTGAGGCACTGGGTTCGATCCTCAGCACCACATAAATGAAAAGTAAAGATATTGTGTCCACCTAAAACTGAAAAATAAATATTAAAAAAAAAAAGGCTGAGGATGTAGCCCAGTAGTAGACCTCCCTGGGTTCAATCTTAGTTGCAGGGGGTGGGTACAAATAAAAACTATGGTTGTTATTGTTTAATAATCTGAAGTCCTCTCAGATGAGTGCTTAGGACGAATTCTGATGAAGATTGCTACTACCAGATCACTGAAGGTGCTACCAAAGCTGTGTGGTGAGAAACCAAACTCAATTTATTGCGTACAACAGAGATGAAGGATCTTGGCCATGATAGGTTTTTTTTTTTTTTTTTTTTTGTAATGTCTCCGAGAACATAATGAAATTCACAGAAGACAAATGCAGCTGCTGAGAAATGTGTATTTTTAGCAAGCAACAACCACTGTACAGCATGACACACCATCTGGTTTAAAGAAGACCCTAAAAATCAAGTCAGCAGAAGACAAGTTGGAGAGGTTTTTATCATAGGACCATGAGAAAGGATATGGTAAGCTATTGATCTTGATGATTCTCATGTTAAGGGCTTGGTGAGCTCTCAAATATACTTACAGGTTGAAAAGTTTATAATATGTAGGTAGGCCCAGAAAAACACAGTATTGAAGAGCAAATTTTAGCTCAAGATTAGCCTATTCACATTTCAGGGATAAGGTTACCAAGGTCTCGGTTAAATCAAGCAATGACATGGAAATTTCAGAAAAGTTGGGGGCACAGTGACTACAGTGGCCAATGAGACCCAGAAATCCTCATGCTTGTCTTTATTGCTGGGAACATTTTGCACATGTGATTGTCTAGAGTAAGGGACATACCTCCATGGGATAATTTTTTTTCCTTTGACAAGTTGATAACTTGTCCATGGAATTTTTAGGCCCCCTCTGAGCTAAAAGAGTAAGCAGGTGGATGTATCAGTCTTGGAGTTCACCACACTGTGGGAACTTTTTCTGTGGGACACAGGAAAAAGTCATCCAGATGTTGAATAAGAATAAGGCACTTAACGGCCTTTGGGGTCCTGGTTGAGTACTTGTAGAAAGTAGGAAGGCAGAGGCAGGAGGATTGCAAGTTCAAAACCAGCCTTAGCAACTTAGGGAGGCCCTCATAAACTTAGAAAAACGTTGTCTCAAAATTAAAAAACAAACAGAAAAAAAAGGGGGGGGATGAGGATGTGGCTCAGTGGTTAGGTGCCCCTGGGTTTAGTCCCTAGTACCAAAAAAAAAGAAAAGTAGGAGTACACCTCAGTCCTTACTGAACTCCAAAGCACAGCAGCCATGTAGATTGTTGACTTCCTTAGAGAAGTCAAATAAGTGTGTTGATTAGTTTGATCCAAAAAGACACCAAAGAAAGTGCCTCACAGATTTATTAATTGTTAAACACTGAGACCCCAAGCATAGAATAGTATTTAAGTTTGGTACTCAGGAGAAGGAGAAAGAATGACTATTGATATTATTATTATTATTATTATTATTACTACTACTGTTGATATTATTGATAATATTGATATTATTGTACCCATATCAATCAGAAATTTGTAAGGTTGTCCTTTAATTTCTAGAGAAATATTCCCTTGTGGGTTGTTTTTTTTTTGTTGTTGTTGTTAGACACAATATCTTTATTTATTTATTTTTATGTGGTGCTGAGGATCAAACCCAAGGCCTCGCATGTGCTAGGCGAACGCTCTACTGCTGAGCCACACCCCAGCCCCCCCCTTGTGGGTTTGTGGGTAGAATGGGAAGTTGAACATTTTCACTGGGGATTTGCTTTTCACTTATTTTTTTCTTTAGTTTCTTAGTTCTAGGGCTCTTTCAAAATATTTGGCCAGGTTTTAGAACTCTAGCTATTATTATTTAGAACTCTATCTAGTATTAAATCCCCTGTTTCTAGCTTAAGGCCATTCACAAAAAAAAGAGAAGAGAGCCTGGCACATCTGCTTCAGGATCAAATACTACTGAACACTGTCACTAGGTACTAAACTGCCTAGTACCAAAGTGTGGGTCCGACTATGATCTTGACAAACTGAATCAGAGCACAATCTATTTGCACAGGGAAGACTGAGAATACCTCCTCAAGACCTTGACCAACACATGTACTTTTCTAAACCCCTTTGGTTTCCTATGCATTCTAAGATCTTTTCAGTCACTGTTGAGTGTCTTCCTATTCTGACTTTTTCACTGAACTTTTTGAATCTGAGGCTCCTATTAGCATATGAATCAATTGTCATATCTGTTGCTCTGGAATATAGGTTCCTAAAACAATTTCAGATTCTCTGTGGTAATCTTCCTTATCTAGACCTCAAAGAGTCTTAGACAATAATTTTCAGCTGAGAATGAAACTAGGGCTTAAAATCCACTATAGATGATTTTTTTCTGAATGAGATTTAGCAGAGATAAGCAAGCCGGACATGATGGGTCATGCTATTGTAGAGACAAACCAGGCAAGGCACCGAAGACAGCAGGAAACAGTTTTATTTGGCTGCAGCCAGGTTCAGAGGGCACAGCTTTTGCTATAATCAATTAATCCCCTGAACCCCGAGTTCAGGTAGTTTCAGAGTTTTATACCCAGCATGTAAGGGGAGGGGCTCAAAAGTTCACAGTCTGCAGAAGTTCACATAAAAGCAGCTTTTTCTTTCACTGTTTTGGGCAAGTTAACCCTTCAAGGACAACACCTGAGAAGGGGAGAGCTGCTTCTCCCCTCTCTTCCCTCCCCCTGCCAGCTGTTACCATGGAGCCCGTTTGTAACTTATCTTAAAAATGTAGACTTCTCTGTAAAGCCCCAGCTCAAGGCCAGAGGCCTTGTTTGCACATTTCTACAAAGTACTATACTGGATATGTTTGTGAAAAACTAGGGGGTGTCCAGCACCTGGAGTGCTGGTATCTTCTCGGCCAGTGGCCAAGTAAACAGGGCAACACGAAAATAGGAAGTTTATCTACATTGGACTCTTG